AAGTATGTAAGGAATTGTCTGGGAGTTTCAAAGGAAAAAAATAAAATACAAGAAAATAAAATATAAATAAATATAAGAAAAAAATGAGAGAACCTCTACAAAGAAAAATTATAATTGATTTATTGTCTTCTCCCTCCCTATTTTCTCAGCTCAGAAACGTCTCTTAGTGCCTAGGGATCACATTTTTGTTTGTTTGTTTCTTTTGTTATACTTGTCATTGGTCTGGCATATCCCACTTCAGACAGCTTGCACCTGATTTTCAGTGTGGTTGAGCTCCCACAACTCCAAATTAAATCAATAAGAGATAAAGATTTCCTTGACACAAGAGGTCTCAAATTACACACTGAAAATCAGTGGCTGCTATAGAATATATAAATCCTAGACATGAAATGAAAAAGGGAGCTCAACTTAGACTCCGAATATAGCTTTTTATTTTACTTAGTTTTAATATTTCTAATGTTTTCTAGAAAACCACTTTTTACCTTTTTCTCACATTGTGATGTTTTCTTCATTGTGTCCCTGTAATCTTTCTATCTATATGCCATGTTCTCTTTGTCCCCATCCCTGTTTTAGTCCTATCACTTCTCATCATAAGAGATAATATAACAATAAATGAAATATAAAAATCTAAACCAACTCTGTTTTCAAGGCCAGGGAGGTGGTGGAATCTCCTTCCTTAGAGGTTTTTAAGGTCAGACTTTACAAAGCCCTGGCTGGGATGATTTAGTTGGGGATTGATCCTGCTTGAGCAGGGAGTTAAGATGACCTCCTGACTGGGCCGGCTCCAGGCACCAGCTAAGGAAGCAGTTATGCCTCAAACAATTGTCTTAGTGTTGGATTTTATTGCACTGCAGATCAAGTCACATCAAGTTAAATTTGGACTTTGAGCTTCTTGTATCTCATTTTTAACTATTGAGTAATCATATTCACACTCCACAGAAAAGTGGGGCTAGTCACTTTCAGCTGAATTTTGAAGCATGGCTGATGTGATTCTAATATTTGTTCTCGTCCCGTAGGTAATCTCCTGGAGAAAATGAGTAAGTTGATGTTGGTTTGTGAACAATTTCACTCACAGACAAGCAGGTTCTGTGCTGAAACTAGGAATCATTGATGTATTCATCTCACTGTCCTCAAAAAAAAAAAATGTCCTTGATTTGGATGCCTTCCTCTCTCTCTAAATTTGCGGAAGAAAACCTCACACAACCTAGGATGAGAATTCATGTATCTAGTTATTTTTCTTACTTCTGCTAGTGCACTACAAATAGCATTGTGGACACAGTGGCAGAGGCAGAGGCTCAGGCTAGCCACCCAAGTAGAATGATGACTGACCTCCTTGGTACATATGTCTATGTAGATATACACTGAGTGTCACAAAAGAAGTACAGCAGTGCATGGAAGCTGTACAATACTTTAAATTTGTATACTACAGCACATATTGAATAGTTAAAGGATTGTAATTTTTTTTCAAATTAATTTTAATTTTATGTTTTTCAGAAGAGCTTCAGAAAGAGAATGGTAGGTTTGCTTTGATTTTTGAAATTATTGTGAAACAGATTGAGCACAATTTATTCGTATTTTCTTAGATCTTAGGTCCTTGAACAGACTGAGGTTTCAAACCATTGTCAGCTGTGGTAATCTATGGTGGGAGAAGGACATTTGTAAACAGGAGTCAGTGGAATGAGGGCTAGGTCTTCAGTTTTGTGAGAACACAGCGCCTTGATTTTATTTGGTTGTGGAGTGCAAGATTCAGAGCTGTGACTGAATCTGAGTGATGTGTTAAGTGTGGTGTATAAGAAAGACAATGAATGAGAAGATTAGGAGTTGCTGACTGGGAAGGTTCTTTTTCATTTCTCAGCTGCTACTAGCCTTCAGAAGATTGTTTTTAAGTGAAAAGAGATATTTCTTCATTTCATTGCCTTTCCTCAATCCAAGGAAAGTTCATTAGCCAGCCAATTTCTTTTCAACCCCATAAGAGAACTGTAACGACTTTCTCCCACAGGAAGTTGATTGATTACCCTAGAATATTTTTCCCTCTTTTCTTTCATCTAAAATGAAAGGCTGATTTAAGAATCACTGTACAGTATAGACATTCAATAATATCATGACTCCACTTCTGTTAAATTTATCTTTGAGTGGGTGCATCTTTTTTCATCATGTAATTTTTTATGATATGTTAGTAATTGGGAAAATCATTTTGAGAAGATGAAAATTATCACTTTTACCTGTTGTGTAGCACTGTGGAATAGTAGTGCTTTGAATTAAAAAAAAAAAGTTTTCTTTCAGATTCTCAGCCACATTGCAGCATCTTCATGGTGCTTTGACTACACAAACTTCTCCAAAAACAATGGACCAGAGCACTAGGGGATTCCTCTTGCACTGGGGAATCTTTGTATCATGTACAGCTATTATTTCACCCTCCCTATGGCCCACTGTAAATGGTGTGGCAGGAAAAAGGGGGCATAGCTCAGCATCCACACTATCTGCCTTGTGCAATAGCCAGAGATCTGTTATCACAACAGTTTAGAGCATCCTTCAAGCTGCTGTTTTCTGCACAGTGTGAACATCTCACTGCAGAGCCAGTTCAGAATTGGAAGGTAGGATGCAAATAGAACCTTTCATCACTTCTCCTCCTCACCTCACACTAAGCTTCGAGTGTTCATTAGCCACAGCTCTGGACCTCTTAAAGCCTTCATCCCAGTGATTAGGGCAGAAGGTGAAAAGTGAGTCTCCCACATCCTGGGTGAGTGCCATAACAGCTGGGATAATGGTTAAAAGAGAGGTTGTCCTCTTCCCCAGCCATTTTGTGTGGCATTGGACACACACTGCTGCTTTTCTTGTAAGATATGGCTTAGGCACCTGACTCCAGGAGACAGTTCATGGCTGAGAATCCCAAGTGGAGATAGGCACCTCCCTCCAGCCCAGACTGAGGTGATGAATTCTCTGAGGGGGCAGGGCTTAGTATCTCCCATTTGCTAAATTAGGTGTCACTGTGTCCAGTGTGCTGGCTTTTGTGGAGACCATTTTTAAGCACCTATCTTTCCACCATGTCAGCTAGCATCATTGTTGGAGAACTGAGGTGCATGCAAGAAACAATGATCACATTTAATCAGCTGTGCCTTTATTAAAAGTCTTCTCACATAGAATACCCCAGTTAATATAACTGTTGCATAAATTTCAAGTTGTAGAAAAAAACAGTGTCCAGCACCAGCATTTTCATACTCACATATCCACATGGAATTGTGAAGGAGAGTAGAGGTGTTGGGCTCTTGTTGAGGATCAAGAGATGATGACCTTCAGGAAGTGATGAGCTCCAGTCATCTGTCAGGCCCATTTATAATTAGTTTTGCATATACCCATTAATGTGCATGTCCATCTTTGGGAGCACATGGTAATAATGGGAGACTCTTAATCTCATAGGCCACTTGGATAATTCTTCTTTCATTTATTAACATTCACATCATCTTATCATAGTAACGTGCTATTACCTTAAGGAAGTCTCTAACATTTCACCCTGGCTACCAAGAGTCATCTTATAGTTTCTACCTCTTATAGACATTATTATCCAGTCTCAGTTACTTTTCAAAACATCAGCATAGAAACATAGACACAAGCTCAGCAGATTTATTATTAAATTAGCACGAGTAAGTTAGCTTTATAATATGGACAATTTATCCTAAATCCTAAGGCCTAATTTGTCTAAGCCAAGTATTTTACACACTTAAGCCTTTAGGTTTCTTGCATTTCAGTTTAAACCTTAAGTTATTTTTTTTTACCCATAACCTATCAGATATTAGTGTCTTATATCCAGCTAGTATAATAGATTAATTTGTTAATTACAATCTACACCATGCTTGGCCACCTAACTCAGGCCTTGCAAATTGCGTTGGGTGGCTAGATGCCTAACAGTTAGATGTGGATATGCGGAGTATTTCAACACACAAGTCCCTTTTTGGCTTTGATCCCTAGTCCCTGTCTCATTTGGGGTGTACTGCCACTGCCACACTCCCAAAGTAAATAATAGTAGTGGGGTCTGAATTGCTGTTAACAGAGTCTGCAGTGGTCTAAAACAATATATAAGGATGAGGGGAAAGTGTGAGGAAGTTTGGTCAATGTAAGAAAAAACCTGAAATCATACCAAGCAAAAATAAACAGATTACATGATGAGATTAGGCTTTGGCTTGAGGTCAAGACAGACAAAGCAGATGTTAGGCAGACCAAGACCTTGAACAGGTTCTAATCATAGGAGTTCAGAGGAGCCCCTATGTGTAAGACAGGTGTAGTATACCTGTGTGTGCATTCTAAGCACATTTTTGTGCATATTAATATCAACACTTCTTCCTTCTGAACAATTAAATAGCCATTTAATGCTTTCTCAGTGTGGAACATCCTATTGCCAAAAGCAGGAAAATCTTTAGGGTGGGCCTCTTTTAATTCAATGTCTGTTATTTCTCACTTGATTTCAGAATGGAGAAGGGCTCGCAGTAAAACAGGTAACAGGAAACACGTTTCTTCCAGGATGAAGAAATAATTTTGTTAATACAGCAACCAAACTAGAAACATACCATAAAATGCTGTTATCCTGAGAGCAAATCCTGAGAGCCATGCTCAGTTTTTACACAGTGTTTACTTGGGGAAAAAAAATCACATTTATATAAGGACCTGATGCTGACTTCATACCAATTTCACACCAGTGTAATTTCATAGATTTATGTGGAGTCACTTCTTATTTACACTGATGTGAGGTGAGAATCAGCCCAACATGAGAGTATTATCTGAGGAAACACTAAGGCCCTCAGGATTTGGAGCAGGGTAAAAGCACAGACGAATTGGCGGCAGTAATGGTGATTGCGGTGGTTGTAATAATAAGAGTAATGATGACAGGGGTTATGATTCTGGGTAGTTGTGGCAAAGAATAAAGTGGGTGAGATTGTAATGGCATTTGGTATTGATGAAAACAGTGGTGAAAAGTTAGCTCTGAGAGAGGTTGTTTTGAGATTGATGCTGATTATACAGTTCACAGAGACTGCTTATGATATTTGAACAAGCTCACTTGAGTCAGTGTCAAAGAAGGGAATAGAACTCGGGAGTTCTGAGTCTCAATTCCCACATCTAGATTCTAAACAAAATATTATTTTAGTTACTAAGACAGTCCATTATAACATTGATGGTACAATAATAAAGACAATAGGGAAGTACAGTGATCCAATATAATAGGTGTAATAATTTTCTTCTCTGCCATCTGCTTGGCTGTTTAGAGATTAACATTTTTACAAGGCCCCAGTTCAACAGGGTATGTAAGCAAGGGCTAAACTTTAAGCAGATATAAGGGTGGTACCTCCTCATCTGAGCACATCTACTGGTGCATAGCTGTGTCAGTCCCAAGATATCAGAGGAAAAAGGTGGGTAAGGTAATCTTTTATTGGACAAACTTCTATTAGTGAAAAGAAGAGCTCTGTGTGGCTTAAAAGCTTGTCTTTCTCACCTAGAGAAGTTGGTCCAATAAGAGATATTGCCTTACATACCTGGTCTCTCTCACATCTATTGGACCAGGCCCCAAAAGCAGGGTAGTCAGGGGATAACCTACTTTGTCAATCGTGATAGGACTCGGGCATGAGTTAGGTGCAAAATTGCTTGGCAATGCCAGGACTCAGGTGGCTGAGTGCACATCCAGTTGCCAAAGTTTAGGAACCTTGGGAACTTTAATGGTGGAAATCTAGGTGCTCAGGAAATTTATATGCCTGCAGGGTTAGTCTGCAGCTGGGCAAGGGTTTTGTGAATGCCAGTGTCACCTAAATGCTGGATATATATGGCTATATCCCCCTTGTGAATGCCACTCAAATAATTCAAATCACTTTCAGTTTCATGTGAATCTCAAGCAACTCATATATTTGAAATATTTCAATATAACAAAAAACATTGTCAAGCAGGCTTCAATCAGGCAAAATTCGCACCTAAGAAAGGAGTGTAGGATGGGGTCTACCCTGCAAACTTCTCGTAACCCAGCTCAGACTGACATTAGACCAGTGCTTTGGAAAACCCAATCTCTCTTTGCAGATGATATCACTCTTGATGCAGGAACAGCCCACCCCAATCTCTCCATTGCTTGGGATAAGAAGAGTTTGAAACATGAAGCCCAACCTCAGAAAGTTCCACCACATCAAGAGAGGTTCGATTCGACTGTGTGTTGGGCTCTGAAGGATTCTCCTCTGGAAAGCACTACTGGGAGGTGGATGTTGGGAGCAGCACTTACTGGGACCTGGGGGTGGCCAGAAAATCCATAGAGAGAAAAGGGACACTTTCTTTGTCCCCTAAACAGGGATTCTGGGCTCTGGGTCTGAATGGGGGAGATTATTGGGCAAAAACAGATCCATGGACCCGAGTCATGGTGCAGAAAAAGCCCAAGAAAATTGGAGTTTACCTTGGCTACCAAGATAGGCAGGTGACCTTTTTCAGTGTAACTGACATGTCTGTGTTGTTCACATTTAATGATTGTTCATTCTCAGGAGAGGTTTATCCATTCTTTAAAAATTCCCACAAAGAGACAACAATGAGAATTTCTTCAATTAAAGAAGAGGAATAAATTT